AATTGTTAAAATTTTATTATAAAAATTAATTTTTTAAAAAAAGATGCAGACAAATTTGCATGCAATACAATTTAAGGAATAACATTTTGCTTACAAAAATATAAACTAAAAAAAACTAAATATTTTTTATGTTGAGTTATTTTTTACTAATACAAGTATGAGCATTATATCCAGGTTGTTGGCAAATAGTACAATGCCTTGCTTTGGGATTTACTAATTTGAAGCTAAAAGGATCTCTTTTTGTTGAGTTGACTTTTTGATTGTTAGGAGCTCCAGTAAGATGTTCTTTAGTACAAACTATATTAGAATTTTGTAAGATTATTGATAGTTCATCAATTATGCTTTTTAATGTATCTTGTGCAACCAATTGCTAGAATTCTGGCCATTCTTGGTATTTTCACTGTAGATCTTGCAAAAGGGGTTGCAGTAGATTTTTATAATTAAAGTTATTTTCTTCAATTTGTAGCATTAGTAAGTTTCATAGAATTTACTAATATTTATAAACATCATTAATTAATAGACTTTAACTATTTTTCAAATATTGAATAAAATATGCACAAGGTAAATTCATTGTTTTTGAGAAAGTCTCTGTGCATAATGGTAAGGCTCTTGCATAGTTGCATATTTTACCTTTTGATACTAATCATTTATCTTTTTGAATACAAAGATTGATACTTTACTCTTAATATTTTTATACAAAGAATTGTTAATAGCAAAAGCTGAAATACAAAACATTTTGATGCAATTATAATATCAAGTTCTTTTCTGATTAGTTAGTGCTAAAAATATTGCTATATAAACATGATGGAGGTTTCCTGTAAACATTTGTAAGTAGGCTTTTAATATTGCATATGAACTCTCAATACAAGATGTTACAGTGGTTCCTAAGTAAAGTAACTCATTTGTCTAGGCTTTTACAACTTTTCTTTCTATGGTATCTAGGTTTTCTGAAGATAGTGTTACAAATTAAAAGTTGAAACAATTGATTAGTTAACAACTAATTAATTAACCTTTTTAGATACTTACTAAATAATTAATCGATTAGTTGTAACTAATCAATTAAAGAATTGATTTGAAACTAATTGATTAATCAGTTAAGTATTAAGTTGCAACTAATCAATTAATTGATAAATTAATTAGTTACAACTTAATGATTAATCGATTAATTGCAATTAAAAAAAATAATTGATTGTAAAAATTTAATGATTAGTAGCACTACTTGAAGATAGAATACAATGCTAAGTTTATTACTATAAGCAGAACAAAAACTTCTCTACTTTTCATCAAATTCATTTTCTAATTTTGCTTGAACTAAACTATTCTACTTTGTAAAAAAACTTTCTACTCACTATCTTTGTCTTCTGTTTCTTTTTAAAACTATGGTTTGCAATTTTTTAAAATATTCTTACTAATGTGCCAAACACAAAGTATATTTGTTGAATTAGATAAAATCATTTTAAGAGCATTCATGAGTGCTAATTCTCTATCAGTCACAATAATGCTAAATTTTTGTACACTATTAAATATTCTTATAAGATGTGTTAAAACCTATTTATAGTTTTTCTTCTCTTTTTCTTTTTTAAAAACAAAACAAAAAAAAAAGTGGTATTAAAACTGGTTATATCTACAATATTTAATAATAACATTTTAAATTTGTTCGTTTTGTAGATACAATCTATAAAAATTACTGTAGAATATTGATGGCTAAGAGATATTAAGTCATTGTATGCAAAAAACAAATGAGTAACAAAACTGAAATTATCATATTTGTATTTGTAAAAAAAGTTTCATCTTTGAAGTTCATCAACTAACACTTGAATAGGGTTCAGCTAGCCAGGTTTTGTTGTTAAAGCTATGAACATGCATTATAAATATCATTACTGATAGCTAGTACTAATAGATTACTTTATTGAAGCATTGATACAATTTCATGAGAATGTAAATCAAGATAGTTATTATTGCAATACTTTTTATCTGTTTCTCTGTTAGTTGATAAACAATAGAATGTTCTAACATATCTTCTGAGGGACTATAATTATGCTCAGCATTACAAACTTCCAAATGCCACAAGTTATTGTGTTAAACTGCATACAATTCAAAGAGACAATTTATTAATCTAGTGCTTTTTTTTTTTTATTTGTTTCTTTATTAAAACCCAAAAGGTTATTATAAACACCATTCTAGTTACAATGTATTATCATATTTTTTAATTCATTATGCACATCTTTTCAAGTTTTTTTTTTAACTAGAGCATAACTCTAAGAATTTGTAAATGTTTGAGTGTTTTAAAAAAGTTCATCAGCAGTATTGTATGTTTCAGGAAGAGGTGAATGCATATTTACTTTAACAAATTATTTAAAAGGTTTGCTGCCACAATTGCTTTATTTTAAAACTTAATTTGTGTAGACTTAATTAATTTAAAAATAATTACAATAGAGATAAGATGAAAGTTTACAAGATAACAAAAAAATAAAGATTATAAAAAATGAAAATCACAAGAATGATCAATTATTTATGATTTATTGTAAATTTAGAGAACTTTTTAAGAATAAAGATTAAGATTACTTTATTAAAATATTTTTAATGAGGATGGTGATCCTAGTGTAGTGGTTGAATTGTCATCCTTCAAGTGGCAGGTCTAAGGTTCAAATCCCACCTATGACGAAATTTGGAAATTAACCTGTGTTATGGCAAACTGTTTCTTGACGATCGGTTGGATTTGTGTATCTGTAACCTTAAGTTGCATCATCTCGAATGGGAGCTCGGGGCATCTATGCTAAGTGTAATGTTACATGTACATAGAGGAATGTTAATAACCGGTGTTGCATAAGACTTCAGTACAAACCCACAATAAGACCACTGGGCACAATAAACTAAGGAACCGAAGAGTCAGAAGCCTACTTGGAAATTCCCGAGTAAAGAGGTAGCATGAACTTTTGACAGTACGGTCAGACCGATAGAAGCCCATAAAACACCCCCAAAGGGATAGGCAGATAAACCGGATGTCAAGATGTGTAGAGGAGCACATGACCAACCAGGCCGCCAGAATCGCCGAAGGAAAA